TTGAAAGGGGGGGGGGGGGGGGAGGAGAGAGACATGGTAACTTCTCCTTTGGTTACATACTGGTACTGGGTTCCATCTATAGCAGGTTAAAAAAAAGTATGAAAAACACATACATAAAATATAAATCATACATCTAAAGTGCAAACTAACACTGGCTTCATCTGCTCCATGAGGCAGGGCATTACAAGTACAAACAGGGAAGGGAAGGCTCACCACAACAGCACACAGGCTGTATGTGTCCTGGCAGCAAAGGGGGGAACTGTAAGGAGAGAGATCCAGGCTGCTGAGGGGATAGCAGATGTCAGTTGAGAGTTTCCTTTTGTGTTTGCCTTGCCATTCAAACCTGAAACAAAATTTTGAGCTATTTTTAATAACACTAAACTTTTCTTGTATTGTGCTGGTTGCTTAACTGACTTTCCTAGGGGAAGGGAAAAACAACCACTGACTACCCCGCATTTTTTTGAAATAGATCTGTATTACTATTGAGTACTACTGCAAACTGACAGAAAAGACACTAAGCCCATAAGAGATGCCCAGCAAGAAAAGCAAAGATCTTGATCCTGATCCTTCCGTCTATTAGAAATGTCAGAAGTCAAATCTCTGCGTCACTGTGTCCCAAATCTTTTGGACTGCACTGTTGTCAGCCCTTTTGTGCCAGGCACCATCCCTCTTCCCTCTGTAACTTTTAGTACCACACAGTGCTTTTCAACTGTTACGAAGTGGCCAAGGGCTGTAGCTGGGGACCACAAGTTCATTTGAGTGTGTCAAGGAAAGCAGGTGCTGAATGGGAAATTAAATAATAACTTTGCATAATGTAGTTCTGGGAAGCCAAATCGTCCCAGAGTAATTTTCTGTATAGATGGGAAGCTGTTAGGAATAAATTTAGCATCTGGCCATGCGTGGCTAGTGAAGGCTGCTAGTCAGGAGCTCTTGCACTGATGCACTGCTTGGCTTAGTAGACCCAGCTGCTTAGGCCTGATGAGTTAAGGGATTAACAAAATTCCAGTGTCTCAGCTGCAATAATGACACGCAAAACACCCCGTTTCAGTCCTGCACTGAGAACCCAAGTCACAAGCTCTCCCACTTGGCACAGGAACTTCTGCTCACAGGGACGTCTGATCATACGAATTGCTGTACTAATCTGTAGTCAATCACTCCTCGGTGGAGTTTTTCTTCCCTTTGGAGAAGAGATCCCAAATGTAGTGAGTGAAATTTGGTGGGCCAGGTACAGAGTAAGGCAAAACAGACTGTCTGAGATTTCAGGAATGCAGCTTGCATGTTTGCCAGGTCTATTTCTGTAACTACCCATTTAGCTTCCAGGTATCAAAAATGCTAAACCCCCCCATGGGCAGTGATTTTTTTTCCTTTTATGCAAGTGACTGTCCTTCACGTCTCACAAATCCCACAAAATGGCCATGTCCTACCCCACATAGACTGTACCTCTTTAGGTGAAAAATAATGATCTGCGGTGCCTTGGTTATGGTGCACTTTACTGCAGCATCTTGTTTGGTTCCACACCAGGAACAGTGGATTTGGTTGTTCCAAGTCAGCGTGTCTTGCTGAAAGAAGCATTTGAGACAGTCCTGTCAAAGACAATAAAAATAATTTGATCAAACAAATCTCCACCCCTGAAGATCCTAAGCAAGGTAAGAGAAGGGTTTGCCATATTTTGGAGCTGTCTTCCCAATTGAAGCATGACGTCGCAATGCTGACATTACAAATACGCTTGGAACAGAAAGCAGCCAATGTTGGCTTCCTTTTTCTCTCAAAAAAATGAGGAAATACTTTGATGAGTGCAAGAACCCTCACGGTTGCTGTTGAACAATCTTAATCTCCTTCATCACACGGCAACTCAGGAGCGTTGATCCCATAACCTTACCAGCCTCTGCGGTCAGAGACCAGTAGAGAAACTCTCCTTCTCTTAGGACCAGTTCAAAGACCGTCCATTAGTGCCCAGGGAACCAAAGCAACTAAAAACCTGCATCTTTTTAGTAACACCTGTTAGTCTAAGCCACCTATTCCCATATGAAACAGAAACCAGGAGGAATGTGTCGGAAGCCATACCTGCAGAGAGCATGGTCTCTTGGAAGGGATGGGCAGGGAAAGAACGGTGAAGCTCTCAGGTCTATCGGTGGTGGTCTTGCACTCCAGACACGTGATACCGTACCTGAGTTGTCCCTCAAATAACTGTGTGATAATAGATGTTTCACTGACACTCTCTCTGCTTGCTTTTGCGTCAGTTACACATCTTGTGCTTGACTATAAAGAAGAAGAAGAAAAAAAACTAACAAAGCATAGGTAACTGACTGTTTCAGAAGTGCCTTCACTGGGTTTTAATGGTCGCTGCCCACTGCCTGCATAAGCTAGTCGTTAGTCTTGTCACAGAAATTGGTGCTAAAATGCTGCTACTTTACTTGATGTTTCATACGTGCAGAGTAACCTCAATTCTTTTTCTGAGAGAAATTAAACAAAAATGTAATATTCTGGACATTAGATGGGAGTGATTTAATTGCTAGACATGAAGCTTTCAGGCAGATGAAAAAGGGGAAGAATGTACAGCATGGAAGGAGCAAGGAGAGGAAGAGGTGAGGATAATGGAGCTACAGACAGCATTATCATTTAGCTGCGGGCTGCAATCCAGTGAAGCATTAGACAAGAAGCAAATTAATTATTGCATGTATGCGGGTATGAAACAAAGGAAGAAAATGACCGTTTTTAGCAGCCACATCATGGCTTTGGAAGAGGAGGGTAAGCAATTATTACATGGAATGCTAAATTGCAAAATGTAAAGAGGAAAGAGCTAGAGGCGCCAAAACATCACAGCTGGGCTCTTACCTTCTTGAGAGCCTCATGGAGCTCATTCAGCATGCAGATCAGAAACTCCTGTGCGTCCTGCTGAGTCCTCCTGCTAAAAGTTGGGTACCGCTTCTCTAGCACTGAATGAAAACCCTCCGGGGAAACACAGTTGAACTCTCCAAGCCACATATCGGACATCAAACAGCCAAAGGCAGTCACAGACTCGCTAATGTCCCTTGGAAAAAAATAAACACAGATTTCAGGCAAAGTATGAAAAGATGGTGGCTCTACCTTCAAATGGGAGCGTAATACATAAACTTAAAAAACGTATGTGGGTACTGTACAGCTCTGGCAGCCTCTCATTTGGTTTGAGGGACTCTGCAGATACTAGAAAGGAGTAGGAATCACCAGAGAGACAGCAATGACAGTAACTGGTATTCCCATCAAAATGACAAAGTATAATGCTTGAGTTACCAGCAAGGAAATGACTCAGGGTGTCAGAGGAAGGAGAAGGAAACCAGCTTGTGGCCAATTTGACTTTAAGTGCCTGGTGGGGAGCTGGTAGGTGGCTGCCTCGGACACTCTGCTGGCAACATGTATCCTTTGGAAGGAGAATGGCAGTACCATGCAGAAAAATATAAGTAGCGTGAATAAATCAACTTACTTCTGTAGGGCTGCTTTGTACTTTCCCGAGAGGAAATACTCCACGAGCGGTGGCACACTGCAGAGGCACTGCAAAATCGCGTTCATGTAGCATGTGTTGCCCAGATTCCTCAGGCCGGTGAGCCCTGGACAGTGGCTGTTCATGTCCTCCATCAGTTCCTTGCAGGAATACTTCACGCGTTCCAAGCAAATGGAGTCATACTTCTACCTACTAGGAAAAAAACCCACAACAATGGGAATCTAAAATGTTGTGGTGCTTTTTGTGCTATGTTTTTCAGAAAGCGGCACTGTCTTGAGGAGACGTTTCCTGCTGTTTCAGGATTTTCGTTATAAGTCATGTTCCTATTTACTTTTATCAAGCTAATACAGTGCTAAAGACTTTCTCCCACACTAAGTTCTTCCCAATATGGTGAGATATATCATTAAAAGATATTATTTAAATACTTGGGGGTTTAGAGTTATTCCTAAAATTCCACTGAGTCTTTGACTCCATACACAATTACTCAAAAACTATGACCGGCTGCAAATAGCTATCCTAAGCATTTCTCCCTACAGAATGTATATCATTATTTCCTCAGTGCTCTCCAGGTGCTACTATAAACAGATGGCTCTTTAGTCTTTTTTCATAAAATGTTACTTAATTCAACATTAAGACAATTTTAGTAAGTTTGTTTTCTTGCTGCACGAGTCTGTCCTGGACCAGCCTGTCCCCATCCCCAGTTAGGCAGAAGAGAGGTCTGAACACAGACCCTGCACAACTCAGATCTCCTCACTGATGTTGCCTTTCTTGAATTTTTAAAGGCCGTTATTTTATTCCGTATGCAGGAGGAGGGAAAATTCTGAACCCTCAGCAATCTTTGTAGAGCAAGAAAAGCCATTTCTTTCCCTTCAGCTCAACAACATGTGCCCAAGTTCCCGTGTCTGGAGACCTCCCAGGCTGACAGCCATTTTCTATCATCCAACAGCTCCAAAACAACTACAAGACTATTTTCTTTTACATTTCAGCAACAGTAGAGCCAACATTTCCAAATAGCTCTACCTATAGACCAGTCTCCTACGAAAATGTCATCTTTTATAAAATCCATCTTTTATAGCCATCTCTGAGAAACACCGACTCAGAGGAGAAAACATGTTGGGAGCACCAGGTAGGGAAGATGGCTGGGAAGCCATCGGCAGCCTCATGCCCCAGCTCAGGCCGGCTGCCTCTTGCCCTCTGTTCTTCACACCATCACCTCTTCCGTCCGGTTTCACGGCATAACCGACACAGTCCTGCGTGTCACGTCGTGTCCCGTCCCCCGGGCTCCCCTCGCCCCATTGCTTTGTGATGCCGTTCTATTCCAGCAGTTCCCATCTGGGGGAACGTGCCCGGCCTGACCTGCCGCTGTCTCCTTCCTCTGTGCCAGCCAAAACCTCGGGAACAGCTGGGCACCCACCCATTCCGCCGGGCAGGGAGTCTCGGCTTAACCCACGTTTATTCATGTTTGCTCATACTTGTATTAGTGTTTATTATTGCCATGCTCTGGCGGAAGGGCAGTGATGACCGAGGGTGTTTACCATAGATGGAACTACTTCAAAACACCATGCTGAATTAATTTATTGGCATTTAGAAAATTTTCCTGGGAAAAAAAGGTAGAGTGAAAAAGGTAGAGAGAAAAAAAGGTAGTGGCAGAGAAGTGTCTTTTTTATTAGCTAATGAGACAGTATAGTTGATCTCTGAATTTCATATACCACTGAAGAGCAGCAGATTTTCCCTATTTAACATACAGTTTGGGAAGTAACAATTATCCACAGAAGAGGAACAGGAAGCCATTAAAAAAAAAAAAAATCCCCAATTATCTTACTAGTTAAGCTTCAAGCCAGGCACATCTCCCAGCGGTCCTTGGACAGCTTATCTGCTGTCACTGCTGTTAAATCTCCCAAACTGTGCATCTGCAAACTGAGATCTGTAATACATCTCTACTCTGCACAGAAGTATAGGTCTCATGCAAATTCTGCGAAAGCCTGTTCTGATGGAGCCTTCATTCCCATGTCTATGAGAGCATCCAACGTTTACCGTGATTCCAAGGCCCCTTGCTTATTCCCGCAGCCCTTCGGGGGGAAAAAAGGTATGAATGAACTTCTAATAACATACACTAATACAGAAATCAAATTCAAACAGGAATGAGGACAGTTGCAACATTGGAGAAAATATCAAGAAAGGACAAGACCAGTAAAGAATTCATTTTACTTTATTGAAATTTAGCTACTTAGATAAATTGTATTCAATGGGATGACACTCCATATTTTCCTGATTTATCTTCTTTTTGACAAAACGGTCACAGTAAGTATCTGTTCCTAGTTTGGAATACAGGGTACAACTTGAGCAGCTTTGCATTCTTCCGGTTAAGGAATTTTTGATGCTTTGTGTGATTTTTCTCAATGTCTCCTTTATCCTTCATTTTAGCAGCTTTTCCAGTCTAAAAAACAAAAAGTCAAAAATCAAAACTGTATGTTGATGATGGGATGTATAGCTTCACACTTCATTAGGGTAAGAAAGGGCTAATGAGGCTTTCTGGCTTTGGGTCACTAGCTTACCTTGTCACACAGTTATAAACATCCCTTCATAGACAGATAACCAATCATATAATCGGTTTTATTCTTCTGTCTTCCCATGAACATTTTTGTCACTGGTGATTGACAGAGGTGCTTCCAGTACTTGTCTATCCGTGTTCCTAGCTGCTCATGGCACGTCTTTCCTACCCACGACTCGCAGCTTTGATTCACACAGCCACATCCTGGTTTCTGCATCCCCTGCTGCTCCCTTCCCACCGCCTGTTCCGGCTCAGGCGATGTCCATCCCCAGTCTCCACACATGAGTGGAACAGAAGCCAGATGATATCAGTCATTAAGTCTTAGAACAAATACTGTATTTTCTACCACGGATTTCACAGAGGGATGTACGGACTGATACTCATGTGGGATGGAGGAAGTCAGATATTTGATGCAAGCTTTGGGAAAGGCTGAGCTAAGGCCACGGCAGAGGAATGACCACAAACATCTGACTCAAAGAAACAAAATTCTAGCAAATTTCTGCAACAGATCTGCTCAGTTGCAGCAAGGGGGTGAGGGATGAGGAAGCTCGCTCCTGCCTAGTGTCATCTTCCAAGGGCAGCTTTTCTTAGTAGTTAATTGCATTTTTGTGGAAACAAGATGAGAGAAGGCTGCTACTGGTCACAACGGTCATTACTCACATCTTCTGAAAAGGGAAGGCCTGAAGTTTCAGTCTCAGAAAATCACCAGCTCACTGTTTTCCTTGACTTCAAAGCTCCCTGCGAGAAAGTATTTTTCAGGTACTGTTCAAAAAGCAGTTTGTCCTAATCCTCCTCTTCCTGCTCTGCAACACCCCAGAGCAATTGTTGGGGCTGAGTTTCCACTTCCACTACTACTTCTATCGCTATCTGTATCTCATACTCAGCAAAAACCCAACAATATAGCAGCATGCACGAACATGGAAAACCACTGTCTGGAACATTTTATTTATTTATTTATTTTTATTAGCTTCGGGTGTAGTGCAACCCCACATACTGACACGTCTTCACCCTTCTACACAGTTAAGTAATACCGAGATATATTTCATTATTACTAATGAAACAACAATAATTAGCCCTATAGCCCTGGTATATCTTACCTTTCCTGCCCACTTCATCTGGAATCTCCATGTTAGGAACTTGCTCCTTGATTTTCTTGACAAGCTGCTGTTACTGGACTAAATATTCTCATCATCTGCTCTAAAAAATGTAAATGCACAAAAATAAATTACAACCCCCAAAGGCTTAGCAGGTACAATTTGTTGACAAGCTTTATGTTTACAGTGAGGTGCTAGTGCACACAACCACAGGATTTTTAGAGTAATTCGATGTGTTTAAGTTCTGGCCCACCGTAGCTGATATGAAGGAATTATATCTCAATTTCATTCCATTCATGACAAGCACGAGCACAGCCAACTATTCATTTAGAGCAAGAGCAACAAATAAGTTATGTTGTAAAACATACTGAGAACAGCAGACAGAAGGAAAGAACCAATTTGTTTTTTCTTATACAGGACAGGGAACAATGACACTGCCAACTGTTCAGCAGCTGGCAGCATTAACAAGGGCTGGGCCAATCTCTACTAATTCTTAAAGACATTCTTACCAAAAGTAAGAGTGCTTGCCTTCCTCCAGAGGGGAGCACGTTAGCAAAAAGAAGGAAGATAATATGAAGAAACATACTGAAAACTAAATACTATGGTCACATACAGGCTGATGGCAGCATTAAAAAGCACTTTTTTAAACCATTATTGGGAAACAATAAATTAAATTTGATCTATAATAGCTGTCACGCAGGTAGAACAAGATTTGTAGTGAAAACTATAAATCACTGAAATTATTAAATATAGTGTTTTAAAAAGACTATAAATCCACATAGCTGAATTTTAGTACTAAAATCAGCAATGCTATCATTCATCATTCAAAAGGCAAAAGCACATGCTTATTCCTACTTCGTGCAGAATCCAAATCAAGATCTTGACTTACTATTTTAATGTAACACAATACACAAATCCACATCAGTGCTACCTGCTGCAAGCTCAGGGGCTGAGAATTAACTCCTGTTACTCTCACTACAAAATGTATTACTTGCAAGAAAAAGTGTTAATTTTAAGAAGAGAGATTAAATCATCAAGTCTTTTCAGAAGCACTGTAATATTTTTTAAAAATGTATTTTTTTCCAACTGATCTTTTAGGAACATTCAACATGAACTGTTACTGCCAAGTTTTCAGGTGTAGTCTTCCCCCGCCCCAAATTCTTGCAGTGTTAAGAGTTGTGGCATTAAGTGAGATGCAACCACAAAGAAGGAAAGCAAAGGAAATCGCTGCCACAGGCTTAAAAGCCAAATACCTCCTTTTCCAAACCACACAGCTGCCGGGCAGCAGCTAGGAAACCAGCTCCTCAGGACACTCACCTTTGTGTATTTTGCCACAACGGATTCGGGATTGGTTATCTTTCAAATGTTTCAGCACCTAAATACTGCAAGAAAGCACTCAACAATGCTGAATTTGCTGGACTGATTAAAAGACTAAATTAGCGCACACATATTTGAGGCTTTTGCATACAGAAATATTGATGGTGGAAGA